AGAGCGTCCCACTCCAAAAAGCCAGCATCTGCTCCAGTTGGCAGTACTGATGATCCTGCTCCTGCGTTTCCATCCTCTGTGCCCTATTATACTACACTGTTTGAGTATTTGTACGCACTTCTTAAGTCCCTGCCTCCATCCACCCCTCTACTACAGTATTTCTTACAAGAAGAACTGCTTTGCTCTCTATACCGGTGTCTGACACACTTTTCAGGAGTGTACTCTATAAATATCAGGATATGCCTGTAAAAGACACCATCATTTGTTTAATTTGGTCCTAAGGATGTGAATTGCTCTACTGGTACCATAAACAGAAGGTGACATTCTCAGACACATGTAGACTACGTGTAGAAAGGAAAATGCAGTAAAACCCAAAAGACCACAAATACTAGGGTGATTACAGCAATCAGTGAAACACACTTACTCTGGAAAATGAGACTTCATTTTAAATACCTTGCAAATTGTATTCTGCACCTATGCTTACTGTATTCATCTCACTGTATATATGAAAATAGTTTCATATATATTTAAGGCTATCATAAACCATGCCCTGTTGCTGAAAGGATATAACCCTCCATGATACAAGCAGTTGCAGTTGTTCTGCAGCCTAAACCTGTGTCAACACCAGACACTTTTGGAAAGGTAAATTAATTCAGATTACTGCATGGCTGCAGACAAAGACAGAAGAAAAGCTAATGAAAGGCAGTAAAAGGTATTAAATGCACCACTCTGGTCTCCAGTGCAAAAAAAGACCAACACTGCAACTAACTTGAGTAAATTAATATTGGTAAGGCTGTGGTCACCTTTACCAACCACTGGGGGAAGAAAGGGCACTAAAAAAGCAGATGAGTGCTGCTAAATCTAAAGCCAGACTGAAGCAGGTATTGCCATAGTTTCTGAATCGTGGACTCAAACCAAGTGTCTTGGATCTAGAAACCACAAAATAGAAACCAGCATGTCTGGAAGGCAAACTGGGACAATGGAAGAGAGATGGTATAAGGAGTCAAAAGAGGAAAGAGGGGCACTGCTCTGAATTATGAGTTGAAAATTAATGGAAAAACCCAGGCCCTATTCAGGCTCTCATTTTTCAAATACGAAGTTTTTCTAATTTTGTTTTAGCACATCAGGGGAGAAAAAAAGAAAGACTATCCTACAGTCAAGACAGTTCAGAACATGAAACAGATTACATTTGAGGTTAAATGGGTCTCCATGCATTATTTAAATCAACTAAGTAGTTTCAAGCTAAGTTTCAAGACATAAGTTAAATTGCACAAAAAAAATTTTATCTGCAAGTCTCACTTCGCTGGCACAGACTTTTATCAGTGTTGTTCTCAGCTTTTTGCCTTAGACACATTCACAATGCTCTGTCTTCATCTTGACAGTATAAACAACCTGTCCTTCACAAGTAGAAGCTTTTATTGGCCATTTTACTGACAGACACACTTTCCACCTTTCAGCAAACTTAAATAACCAGTAATACAGCATCTTCTCCAGCATTCTAAGTCAATAGAGCAATACACGTCACATAATATGTAAAAAGTCACCAAAAATTATTTTATTCCTCCAGACTCACAGCTATCCCCTTTCAGATATCTGGTAGGTGATCATGTGGAAGACACTCATTTTTACCTCTTTACTTTATGTTTCCCTTAGAGATACAATGAAAATACCACTTCATTTAGCACTAGTCTTTTGCATTGATACCAGATATCAGTTAAACAAAACAATAAAGAAACTACAAATACCTTGTTTCTGGAAGTTATAATTTGCTTAATAACAATTTTGTCTGCTAACACCAGCACCTTTGTGACAGAAGAAAGCAACAACCTTGCAGCTTTTACAACACCCGTTTTGTCCGTAAAGATTGTTATGTGGCTATCAGATTCTGGATGATCCAAGCTTGCCACGTCTGTGAGCTGTGCGATTGTTTCACCTAGAGGGAAAAAAATAAATAATTAAGATTTCATACTTACAAAAAAAAATATACTGGGCCAATAAATATTCTTAACTTTTACCTTTGAGGTATAAGCCAACAATTTTGGAGCTACCAACAATTAATTCTTTATTTCACTTCACTTCCTTCTATTGACTGTTGGTGGCACCATCTCCGTATTTAAATTTGGACTATTATTCAGTACTGCCTCATTCTCCCATCTGTAACATGCACTAATTTTCATATAGTAGTCTACAGGTATTTGAGGTGGAGGGGGTGAACTGGGGAGTGTGGAGGGAGAAAACATTCATGGGAGGTATTTTTCCAATTTTAATAGCAGAAGTCAAATCAATGTCGACACTTGTAGCATCAACTCACTGAAGGAGTGGGATGCAACAAGGAAAGAAAAACTACAAATTCTCCCCCACTTTCCAAATTTCTATTAGTATTCCCATAATGTACAGATTTCCTATTCCTGTAGAAGTCTTCGGGCATGAAGAATAAAGGGATTCCAAACAATAATTTTATAACTCATAGGACTGAAGCATTAGAGTGAGACTACTGCACTTCATGTTAAAAGGAGGACAACCAAACAGCATGTTGTCAGAGACTGAAGAGAGAAAAAAGGCAAAGAAGCACTGATTTTTCAGTTCATAAGCACCCTTTTATTCAACCAGCATTTCCTACAATAATAGTTAAATGGGACTATTTGACCACTTTTACTTTTTATGTGCTTAAAAATTCTACAGTCCAATGAAGCCAGTGGATCTCATTCTCTGAGAAAAATCATGGGCCCCTATTAAATCTTCTGGAGTACCCTAGGGAACAGTGCAATAGATGAAAGGCATAGAGTGGTTTCCTGTTCCACAACCACAGAGAGACTGCTGGGAGATCGAATTCAGGTAAGCTCCAAGACACGCTTTTTGTTAGCATGCAAGACAAGATGATCAACAACCCACAACTAACCTGCAGATCATCCTTGAAGATAAAATCTAGGACATTTGATCAAGTCCCCTATGACTCATCTTCAAAACCTCAACAAAGGTAATTCACCTAAGCAGACAAGATACTCACATCAAAAGCCTGATAAAACCAGAGGTCTCACATGAAGAACGTGGAGATGCTTTATTACTCCAGACCACACACAAGCACTAGAGAACAAGGAAGGCCTGACGGTCCTTTAAACGACAGAGCTCCACACTTCATAGTGTTTATGTATAGATTTCTTTCCTCTGACAACTGTAATCCCTTGAGCTCCTAATAGCCTGAATAGGTCTTGCATTATGACAAGGAACTTCCACTACTTTTGCTAGGATCAGGCCAGGTCATAAGAGCAATAGTACAAATAACCAGAGGGTCTCCCTATTATAAGCATGCAAATACGATAAACAGAGTACAATCTGAAATGCTAAGTTCCATAGCTGAAGGCCCTGAAAATGAAGCAAGAAGAATTATAAAAGTACAGCAATTATCCAAACACTGAGGGCAGTAAAGTCATAGGACAAGCCTCCAGTCAGGCGAGGAGATAATTTAACTGCAAAACAGATTGGCCATTACCTTCTTCAGTCAAATTCATATCAGTTCAGGCCAATCTTTAGGTGGAACTGTTCAACTTTGTCAGCAGATTAACCCCAATCTCATCATTTGACCTCTAAATACATGTGACAACATAAAACACCAAAAAGACATAGAGAACAATCAAAATAGATGCAAAATGCTTTTGGTAACCAAGGAAGGACACACATAATTATCCCATTTCAATCTCATGAATTCTCAAGTCATAGTTGATGCATCTAATCATACAAAGAGTAATCAGACAGTATAGAAGGAGTTGCAACATCTGCATGTCAAAAGCTCCAGACAGGCCTAGAAACCCAGGACTTCTGACAACAGAACAAAGATTTCCTTCTCTACCTACAGATCTGCTACTACAGGAACAGGAATAGTGCCCTGCAAGTAAGCCATGAGGAACAAGACCTGGTAGGGTAAGGAGACTGAGTTTGGGACTATTTAAACCAGCTGAGCATACACAAGTCCATGGGACACATCTAAGAGTGTCAAATGAGCAGTTCAGTGTCACTGATTCTACTACCATTTCTGAAACACTGAGACAATTGGGACAGATTTCTAATGAGGGAACGGTACGTGTCATCATCTTCAAGAAAGGTAAGAAGAAAAATTCAGGTAATTATGGAGTAGTCTGCTTCATGTCAGTCTCCAGAAATATTATTAAAATCATCCTGGAAACCATTACCACACAAAGCAGAAAAAGGCAACTGGGAAGAGCCAGCAAGGGTGAACAGAATTATCAACCTGAATGCCATCTATGACGAGATGCCACCATCTCTAGAAGGGCATAATGGATGCTGCGTATCTCAACTTCAGCAAGGCGTCCAACATGATCTCCCGTAATGTTCTAATAACTAAATCATAAGATATGGACTGGATAAGTGAACAAGGTGGGTAGAAAATGGTTGTGACTGTTGGGCTCAGGGATGGTGATCAGTGGCACAGAGTTGAACGGGTGGTCAGTTACCAGTGGCGTCCCTCAGGGACTGATTTAAGGCACCAAAACTGTTCCCTAGATGATGGACCAGCATGTTCAGCAAGTGTGTGAACAATACGAAACTGGGAGAGTGTCTGATCTGCTGGAAGACAGAGCTGCTAGACGGAGGGACAGGCCAGATAGATGATCTGACAGGGAGTTTGAGAAGTCCAACAAAGGCAATAATACCAAGTCCTGCATCTGGGCCAGGATAACACCACACAGCAGTACAGGCTGGGGTCAGCTGCTCAGAGAGAACCTTTGAGGGGAAACACATGGAGGTCCCAGGAAACAAGAACTGAACAGGAGTCAGCTATGATGGCCAATGCTGGGTTGTTAACAGAACTGTAACCATCAGGCTGCAGAAATGCTTCTTTCCTTCAGATTGGCACCTAGACAGCATCTGGAGTATCATGTCCAGTCTGGGGGTCCTGAGCACAAGGAAAAACATTGACATAGTGGAGCATGACACAAGTGAAGAGGCTGAAGGAAACTGATTTATTCTATCTCAAGAAGATAAGTCCAGTGGCGGAACTACAACTACCTACCTAATGGGCAGAGAAGACACAGAAAGACTGAACCCAGAGGTGCACGCTGACAGGACAAAAAACAATGCACAAGATATAAGAAAATACTTTTGCCACTGTAAAGGTGGTCAAATACTGTAAGAGGTGTACAAGAACTTGCAGTCTCCATTCTTGGAGTTAGTCTCTTCTGGCTTAAGTTGTTCTGTGATACTATTTATCCATTATCAAGTGTTAGGTTTCAACCCTGTTAACTCAGTGCTTCTCTGCACTAAAAAAACACAGCAAAAATAGGTAAGCACTATTTATTGCTTCCATTTTACTCCATGTCTTCTTTTAGGGCTACGCAGTCATCTGGCAGAGAACGTTGAAAATGTTATGACACTAACTCATTCTTGACATGTGTTTTCTTTTTTAAATTAACCAGTCTTTCCCAGTTTGAGAGGGAAAAAGTATCACAGATGGGCATCTAAAAATGTGTTGCTTTGAGTTACATTCCACTACTATACTGTCACTGTAAACACTGACACAGTGCAAGACTAATGTTAGGCAAAATCTGCTACATGACCCTCTGCGGTGTTTTATGATTCTATTTTGAGTCAATCAAATTACAAGGTTTATTACAAGGAAATAGTCATAACAAGTCTGAAACACTTCAGATCACTGATTAGATCCTTCACAGATACAACATCTGTCATCCTTCAAAGCCTCCGCAGGATATGCAATTGATTTAAAGACTCCCTGCTTTTCGTAGCAACTGAGATACTTAAAGTCCTAAACCCTTTAGTGTTGAAGTTTATCTTCTACGCCTAACCAAGTGTCTCTATATTTTCTGGGGCACTGCCCAATGTATCCACTAAAAAGAAATGTGAACAGCTCTACAACATCCTCTGTCCTAAACAGCAAGGGTTTTCTGCTGCTCATACCATCAGAACATGAGATTCTTCTGTACAAGTCAATATTCTTGGCTATAATGGGCAAGGAGACTTTATTGGCTTGCTTGGGAACACCAAAGCTGTTCAAAATAGCACTTGAGCAACTGCATTCAGAGACTGAATTCAGAGGACAGTTATCTACAAGAATTTCACTGCACAAAGCACTCTCTTACCTCGTCCAACATTTAACAGACCACAGAGATAATACTGGCACAAAAAAAGAACACAAAAAAAAAACCCAGCAGCAAACATGTTTGATACACTGAATTTCCCATGTAAGTCTTCAGTTAGATCTCAAATTGATAGCTCAAAAAGCAAATAACTGACCCATGCCAAGGCAAATGAGAGGCTTGACAGAAAAGTAAACAGTCTGTATTTTCACTCCTCTAGACTGAGGCATATTATTGCATAACAGGAAATAAAACTTACAATGTAAAAAAGTGTAACCATTTGGTGAAAGAAAACATTGCAGACTATTTTTAGATTCTGAGCTCCTCCTGCATACACTGATAGGGAGAAAATGCACTTGGACACGTGTATTTGGTTTGCGTAGCAAGGTTTTGGTAGCGCGGGGCTACAGGGGTGCTTTCTGTGAGAACCTGCTAGAAACTCTCCCTATGTCCGACGGAGTCAATGCCAGCTGGCTCCAAGACAGACCCCACCACTGGCCAAGCCTAAGCCAATCAGCAATAGTGGCAGCACAACTGGGATAACATATTTAAGAAGGGAAAATAATAACCAAAAGTGCACAACTGCAGCCAGAGAGAGGAGTGAGAATACGTGAGGAAAACAACTCTGCAGACACCAAGGTCAGTGAAGAAGGCGGGGGAGTAGGTGCTCCCATTGCTGGAGCAGAGATTCCCCTGCAGCCCAAGAAGACCACGGTGACGCAGGCGTTTCCCCTGCAGCCCATGGAGGACAACAGTGGAGTAGATATCCATCCACCTGCAGCCCATGGAGGACCACATGCAGGAGCAGGTAGATGTGCTCAAAGGAGGCTGTGACCCTGTGGGAAGCCCGCGCTGAAGCAAGCTCCTGACAGGACCTGTGGCCCTGTGGAGACAGAAGCGCAGGGCCACAAAGATGATTGAGGGAGAGGAGCAGCTGAGGGAGCTGGGTCTCTTTAGCTTGGAGAAGAGGAGACTGAGGGGTGACCTCATTCATGTTTATAAATTTGGAAAGGGTGAGTGTCACGAGGATGGAGCCAGGCTCTTCTCAGTGATGTCCAATGATAGGACAAGGGGCAATGGGTGCAAGCTGGAGCATAGGAGGTTCAATCTGAACATGAGGAAAAACTTTTTTACTGTGAGGGTGACAGAGCACTGGAACAGGCTGCCCAGAGAGGTTGTGGAGTCTCCTTCTCTAGAGACATTCAAAACCCACCTGGCCTGTGTGTGACCTGGTCTAGGTGATCCTGCTCTGGCAGGGGGGTTGGACTGGGTGATCTTTTGAGGTTCCTTCCATCTCCTAACATTCTTTGATTCTGTGAAGCCCACTCCGGAGCAGGTTTGCTGGCAGGACTTGTGACCCTGTGGGGGACCCACACTGGAGCAGTCTATTCCTGAAGGTCTGCACCCCATGGAAGATACCCATTCTGGAGCAGTTTCTGAACTGCAACCCATGGAAAGGACTCATGTTCGAGAAGTTTGTGGAGGACTGTCTCCATTGGGAGGGACCCCAAGCTGGAACACGGGAAGAGTGTGACAAGTTGTCCCTCTCAGGAGGAAGCAGCAACACAGACATGTGATGAACTGACTGAAACCCCCATTTCCCATCCCCCTACACTGCTGGAGGGGAGGAGGTAGAGAAATCAGAAGTTGAGCCCAGGATGAAGGGAGGGGTGGGGAGAAGGTGTTTTAAGATTCAGATTTTTATTTTCTCATTACCCTACTCTGATTTTGATTGGTTATAAATTAATTTCCCTAAGTCAAGCCTGTTTTGCCCATGATGGTAACTGCTATAGTGATCTTCATGTCCTTATCTTAACCCATGATTCTTTTGTTACATTTTCTCTCCCCTGTCCAGCTAAGGAGGGGGAGTGATACTTGGGTGGCCATCTGGCCTCTAGCCAGGGTCAACCCACCACACCACAGCATAACTTGTCAAGTCAAGAAACAGAGATCCAGATCACACTGCTCTTCCAGCAGCTGAGATTATTGACATAAACTTTGGCACTTTTGGCTTGTCAGCATTTTACTTGAATCTCTGAAGAGAAAACACATGCTTCACAAAACAAATGGAATGTTTTCAAATTAGGACATTACTGCTAGCAGCCAAGTTTACTGGAGCAACAATGAATTTCCAGTCTGAAGTTTATCTAGAGTAGTTCTTCAAATCACAAAAACAATCCTTCATCACCAGGGTGTCACTAGACATTGCAACTCATTGTTGAAGGATTTTCAGAGGATTTCTTAGAGTACTATGCCAAATTTCTAAGGTGGTTTTTTTTTAGTTAAATCACAAAAATGGTACGAACTACATCCTCAAATTCTGAGGCCAGCATAGTGATTCAGCAAGAAATACACTGGCTGGGACATCAAAAGGCAAGTTTCTTAGCCTTCTGAGGTCATTTGAAAGATAAAAACTAAACACTTGTACACAAGTTCACTGTTTATCTTAACAGATCAATTTTAAGTTCAGTAACCCATGACCTGGAGTAGAGTACTACTCACTTCTGCAGTTATCAAGACATTAATGTTGAAGGGTCATTTGCCTCTACATCTGGAAGCTCAAGATTGCCTCTCTGAAGCCTAAGTAAGCAGGAAGTCTGTCACACCTGTAAGTACTTCTACCTGCTTAAACACGAAAAGCTTCAAGCAGAATTTTCCATGATTCACATGTATTTGAAAGAAAAAACAAAAACCTGCCACCACTAAATAAAACTAACATTCTTCTAGATGTGATCTTCTTGAAGACTGCAGATTTAAGACTACGTCTTTACTATGAGCCACTGAAATATCATGCAAGAAACAGTATTTAATATCTAGGAAAGTAGTTTTTAGCATGACCCCAACATTCACTTACAGTATCAGAGAATATAACCCACTAATTTGCCTGGACAGAGGCTTCTGGGGGAAAGAGGAGGGTGACAGCAGGCAACTCAGTTATTCATACTTCACATTCGATACATACACAGAGCAAGATTGCAACAAAAGCTGAATCCAGCAAAAAGACAAGTACAATATGAGTTTCACTTTATGAGGGGAGTCATCAGATGACTGATGTGAGTCATCTTACTAAGTCCTGATGAGATATGGATTGACACTGACCTTCATTCAGACATTCAGATTTAGAACACAGTGACCTCAATAGCGTAACAGTCAAATTACTTTAAATACTCCACTGTTTTAAAGTTGAGAGCAATAAACTCTGAAATTGTCTTCTCAACACTTTGCTCTGTCTGTAGCAACATCATAAAGCAAAAAGCAGCCAGGTAATTCCTTGTGGCAAAAGACCCTATAAAAATCAGAGCCAATACACAATTCCATTCTCTGTTCTTGGGATGACAGCAATTTCAGTAAGTGAAAAAATAAGGTAACAGATCAGGCCTTGAATAAGCCAGCAGAAGAGGCGCAAGCAATTAAATAATAAAAGTGCTTAGATTATTCCTGACACTAAAAATAGTTTGCCAAAAATGGCACAAGCACAACAGGTTACAAATTTCATGAGTAACTGCATACCTGCTCTCCTTGCCTCGATGCAAGCAACACTCATTTCCTCTTTCAATTCATGATTTTCATTGGCTATAGCTTCACCTACTGTAACAAATCTTCCAACTGCCAGTTTAACTGCTTGGCCCACCCGCTGAATTGCTTGCAGAGTCTTGTCAGAACGCTTTGGTTTATCCTTATGATTAATAAGAGTAGTTATCTGTGAACGAGAAGAGTTCATTATTAGAGCTATATGCAAAAGGACATTTTAACTTTTGTATTAAAGACAGGTTTCAAACTGAACTCAGTAATGGATTTTTTACCATACTTCACTAATAGCATTGAGTCATGAGGTATCATTCATCCTCTCTGAGAATGAAAAAAAAATCTGGAGTATAATTAAGTTTGCTCATCTGCTGTGATCTCAGCTTATCTCACATCCCTCATTTCATTTGTGATTATTTTTTTTCTCCCATTTGCAATACTAAAGTAAGCTGCCCTAGGTCTCTCAACTAGCTGTCACACTACAGACACAGTAAAAGCTGAGGAGTATAGTAGTAGACATATCAACACCATTTTGGGCTTGCCAGCATTGGAAATCCTAAGAAGTTTTTGTGCTGTCAGGTAACTAAACACACTTATTAATTAAGATCTGGAAGCTTTGGCTGTTTTTACTGAAATAAGGCTTTCTGAACAATGTTTTATCCAACTGATCAAGGCAGGCTTTAAGAACAAGCAGTGGCACAGTCTTTACACAAGAACCACCATTTGTCTTTTAGAAATAATCTGAAGTATTCCAGCATTCTCCCCATGAAAATATCTACCGTACTCATAACTTTAACTTCCTCAATTACGTGTGTTTTCTAGAATTTAGAAAAAGTTTGCTATTTAGATGCATGTTATCAGTAAAACAATTCGCAAGGACATTCTTATCAGCTCTTCTGCCTTGTACACATTGCACTACACACTTCTTTCTGGATCTTGCTGACCAGAGATCACCTTCTGATCACACAGGCTGCAGGAGACTAAGATCTGCAAACACGAGCAAACAAAGAGATCCCTCTTCCACCCAAAAAGAAAGGTAATGTAGAAGTAGCTTCTCAACCGATGCAAACAAACAGGAGAACAGCATGCAATCCTGCCACTCACAATTAACTAATTATAAACTGCATTACAAACAGTATAGGAGCTTTACATTTTTGGTGTGACAATCATTTTCTAGTCACATGCAGGACAGAAGTCAAATTCCGTAGTTTTGAACATGCTAAACCAGAATAAAAGCTGTAATTGTTGCCAAAGATAGTCCTGCTCTCATTTTTGCAATGAATTTATCTGACATGAGTTAAACCTGAGTTATGGAGAAGGTGATGTTTGTTAGCTTAGTTTTCCTCACAATCAGTTGCCCAGAGCAGTCCACTGCACAGCTCCCTTTGGTGACAACAATACTACTTTTGGTTGCAAAAGGGAAAAGGTTCAGACTGGAGAAAGAAGGGTGGGCAGAAGTGC